TCGGTTAATCACCTCTCGGTAGGATATCGAGTAATTTTTCCGTGCTGGGAAAATAATTGTCATTCCCCCAAGGATTGTCGAACTACAATGACACAAACCGCGCGTGACTTTGCATTCTTTCGAATCATTATCTTTGTAGTTCACGTTTGCCGATTTATTCAGTTTCCAATGTGGCAACTCGGTGGTACTGCCCACCTTTTTGAAGACTTCATTCAACTTCTCTGCTCTTAGTCGTTAATTTAAATTGCCAGTTGCCCGTAGTTGTAAGAATAAACAAGAATGTACTGGATTCTGTATGAAACATATAAATTATGACACGCATACTATTTCATTCTTAGTAATTGATTCAAACGTTTAAAAAATGATTTAATATCTTATTTATTAGTTATTAGTTCATAATTAATTAAAATAAATTGAGCGACGATGCTCGGGACGATTCAAATTCTAAAAATTTACAAAAATTACCAATTTTCATAAATACTTCAAACACGCTTCAATAAAATGCATACGTAGCACAGTGGGGTATTTGCCTGATATGAGTTTCCTAAATAAAGGACAGGTTTAAATCGACTTTATACAAGAAAATATAAGAATGTAATATAATGTAATATAATGATTTCATATAAGTATATAAACGAATACATATTTATATATCATATATTATATGATGTAATACGTAATGATGCAACCTATATAATACATAATAGTATATCATAAATAATATATAATTGTTTAATTTACTAATTTTCTGTAAATTCTCTATACTAGCGTGCAAAATTAAAAAAACACGATATCTCTGCTGAGAAACAGCTGATGTTGAAAGTGATATAAATTTGTAAGAAAAAAATTTGTTTCGAAGTATTAAACATTAATGATCATAGAAAGTGGCTTTTCGAAACACTGCAAGTGACGATGCGCGACGGACGGTCGCCGAATTTGCGGCGCACCGCAGTAAACAAATCGCTCTGGAATGAAAAGGCGCACGTATGCGGAGAATTTTATTTTTAGATAACAATCTCAGAACCTCAGTAAATACAACTGTGCTTGAAAGAATGCCGAGACTCATACTGATCTACGACAAAATCATTCGTAAAGTTGCACAACTGTATGAAATATCGACGATGTAATAGCTATGTTAAAATGTCGATATTCACATAAAGATGCATAGTAAAAAGGTAATGAACTATTAAAGGTAAAGCGTATACTTACCTAAAAAATTTGGTACTGAAGAAAAATTCCTACAATTTTTCCAAAACATACGGAAAGTGTTGCGAAAAATTTAGTAAAACGCGTGGTCGAAAAGTGTCTAACTTTCAGGACAGCTCAGCACTTTTCGAGTGCTCCAAGGGTAAAAAATTTGTAGGACATTGTTCCTCAAATATTCAGCTATCTCAAACAGCAAAAATTTGTCGGTTCAGCTAAAATTTTTAAATTCGTCTTTTGACCGGTCTGATCGAGCAAATACCCCACTGTGCATCGTCTTAATAAATCTAATGCAATCAATGATCACAATTTAAGATATTTACAAAAAGGTGATAAATTAGATGAAGTTTCTAAAAGTTTGGATAAAAATAGACCGAGGTAAACGCTCGATGATTTATGGGCAGCAGTTTTCCGGGGGTTAAAACGCCTTACAAACGAACTTCCAGACCATTGAGAAGTTACGAACGCGCTAGGTATAGATATCCGGGTCAATCGCTGCATAGCAAAGCGCATACCACGCCTGCGAAACGGAAGGCGCAAGTGGCATTGAGCTGAATTGAAAGGGACCGATCGGAGGGGAACAGTCGCTAAAAGTAAAGCATGCGTGAACATTTTTTGATCCCCATCCCCCTCGATCAGCTCCGTACGAACGATGAGCGTGCTTCGTCGCTCGTGCGAGCTGAAGGCTAACTCAAAAATCGGATCACGTTTACTATTGGACGGTTTCCATGTGTTTCACCCGTGTCACCGGATGTTTCACTGACCGTACTATGTGCACACAATCGTGAAATACTGTAACAAATTGTTTAACCCTTCACGAGTCACTTATATGTTACACTGTTTGAAAAGTCTCGTTTTGATGTCAATATAAAATTGTTCTAAGTAAACAATTAATTATAAATAACTGTAATTATAAACGAATGCATTTTATGGTTTTTTAGTCAAGATAATGCAAGTTTGCCAAGTTTTTAGATTGCAATTTCAACGTAAAAAATTCTTAGTTTGTTCTAAATGTTTTTGAACTGGTGGTACAACTTGAAGGAACCTGAATCTACGTGAGAAAATAAGTTTGATTTAAATAAAAAATATTTCTTTATTTGAAAATGGTTTTTCTAAGAATCCATATTAAAGCTTGGTAATAACAAGTTAGTACGTTTTACGTGCATAGTGTTTGAAGTAGATACAGTAAACAGGTAACAGATATATTATCCTATATCATTCTATATTTTCTATTTCAAAGTGCAATGACATAAGACAACATGGCGGTTAAAGTGAATTTGATACTGAATATTCATTATTATTACGATTGCATGGAAATCCACGGTCGCATTCTATACAACCTACTGCTTTTTTTAGATATTCATAAATTCTACGTACTTTCATTTTCCCTTCGCCACGGTTTATTTCAAGATTATATAGAAAAATATTATTATACACGGTCAACACATCAAACACCATTCATGTCAGTTCCTTCCACCCGTTGAGCACATGAAATGGGCAGGAAATCGACCCTTGTTTTCAAATATTTTCAAAGCCAATTGCAATTTTCTGAGAAACAATAAAATGGAAACTTCAATAGAATTTAATACGGTTAACTTAAATTTTAAATATTTTTCAAATTTAATTTAATATTTACAGTTTGCGATTGACTGTAAACTTTATACACTTGTAGCATCCACAAGTGTACGAAATAAGAGATGTAAACGGTTCAAAAACGTTTTAATGAAGTTTTTTTATTATTTTGGCATTTCTTTAAGCTTTAACCGAAGAAGTACTTGTAATCAACTATTATTTTTATAAAATACTGTTAAAAATTTATATTTTCTGCCTATCGTTCGTTTTTAATTTACAAAAATCATTACTACAGAAAATTGAACTCTGTTTAAAAGATTAGATCTTGGTATTTTGTTCCATTATTACTTAAATTGATAGCTTCATCGATATTATCCGAATGGTTTTCATAAAAAAATGTCAATAATTTCGTGTCATCGAAAGAAAAAATACTTTTTATGCAAATTCATTTTGTAGATGAGATTAATAATAAAAAATGTTTAAGACTCGACGATTATGATCATCTTCTCTGATGTAATGCTCTGTGTTTTATGGTTTTATTTACGATTGAATGACCTTGTATTTGAAGTTATTAAAATTGTCTAGACATTATCCATTTTTCTAGGAGTAAAAAAAGTACAACATGGGATCTAAGAAAATATATACCCTCCGAATATCCTTCATCTACAATGAAATTATTACTAGTATCTTACAGTCAACTTTATTACAATATTCTTAACAATTTATGTTAATAAATTTTCTCCATATCTTTGATAATAGCAGAAATATTTCAAATAATATATGTTACTGGGACACTGTGTATATTACAGAATATTTCTCGCGATGAAATCAATTTAGTGACACTGCATATTTTAACATTCCTGAATAAATCGGTGTTCGCTATTGATGATGTATAAGTGTATGCAACCTAATGCAAACAGATCTTTTAGAAAGGTCACAATCGATTAAAAAACACTTCTCGATGGTTTTGAAATCATAGTTCTTGACCTGTCTACAGAAATACACGCCGCAGGGTTGGCAAAGGTGGCGAGCGTTTTGGTGGTATTATTTTTACTGTGCACACACTGATGAACCATTTTCGTTTATAAATCTTTGATCACATATTGCGGGATTTGTTTGACCTTCCCGCGGATCAATAACATGATCCAACACATATTTTGTAGTTAAATAACTGAGAACCTTTCTGTTCGTCATCCTCAGTTTTCGAGAAGTTTAATTTCAAGTAAAAAGATACAAATTTTCAAAATTCTAATAATGCATTTGATAAAACTTTGATAAAGAAAATGAAACTTCACCTTCGGAACCTTGTTGTATCATATAGATCATAACAAAAATTAATTTATTCAATATTCACCGTAAATAAATTAATTACTATGACTAGACAAAATGTTGTATCGCCTATACTTAATCGATGCCTAATAATGTAAAAGTGATTCCTCAAATCTTGAAATACATTATGACTTTGACTCTAAAAATGTTTTTTTAATATTCCATATTAATTTACAATTCATTTCATTCATTAAACATTCAATAAGTTGTTGTATCGTTGTGTACTAACTAGAAGATATTTTCCCATCAAATCCACCAGCAATTTCTATCTATTTATTGTTAAAATATTAAGGTGCAGATACATTAGCACGAATCTCGCAACATTCCTTTCTGACAGCCACTTGCAGAAGTGTTTACACTTCCACTTCATTTTATTTGACATTATTTCATGTATTTTATTTTATTACTATCACAACTGAATGTACCTTGCTGCCAAGAATCTAAAACACATTTACACACGCCGTAATAATCGCTAGCAAAAGAAACGCCGCAAACTACCTGTGATCATCTATTAACTACTTAAGATCATCCGAATGCATTTCCCGAAGTCTTGCAACGCTTACGATTCCAATAATCCCTCGGGGAACGTAATAATTGAAACAACTGGTCGCGAAAATTCAAGGGATTCCCGACGAAATTCGCGGATCCCCGTCGTCCACCCCCTCCCTCCTGTTCCTATGAAAGATTCAACAGATCGAATCGTTAAGACCATTTCACGCTCGGCTTGTCCTCCGACTTGGTCGGCCGGCAGCCGTGCGTCCCGAAACAAAAGCTAAATTCCAGTGTTATTTGTTCCGCTCGCGTGCGCTTAAGAATCGCGAGGGATCGAGGAATGGGGATGCAGTACGCACTCTCCCTGTTATCGACCATATCGAGAGGAGAGAGAGTGGAACCAAGGGAGAGCGAACCGCGGCGAGGATCACCGAGCTCGGCCGAAGGGGACGCTCGCTCTGGCTCGCTGTTGTGCTTTCGTTCGAGACCAAGAACGGAGGTTCACCACAACCCCTTTCGCCACCCCTTCGATATATCTCGATGATTTCCCATTTAAACGATCGGACACGGTGCTAATCACGTCGCGCGGCCAGTGATTCCTATGAAAATTGCTTCAAAACCTACGAAGACACCCTTCGATCAAGCGGAACAATTCGGCTGAGAAGATTCATCCCCCGAGACACTTATTTCTTTTTCTTCCCCTTATTCAGTGTGAAGTTAGATCGTGCGAGTCGTTGATACGATTCGAAGGGAAGATTTAAGGGATGATGTGACGATCGGATACAGACAGTTAATTTTGGTTCGTTGGTGCGACGTTCATCCCAAAGACGTAGTCTCAGCTTTTGCCTGGCAATCGTTCAGTGTTTGTTTCGCTTTTCCTCCTGCGGTCCACCGTTGAACGTGTTTATCGATCATTGTAACGATACATAACGGTGAGAGAAGTGTTATAAATACGTCGCGAATAATGGTAAAGGTGATGCAGACGCGTCAATCGTGTTTCGATGCGTGTCACGCTCTAATGTTCCTGAATAATTGTCGCTGGTAACTCGATCGGAACCTTCGACGAAAAGGGACCCGGCCGATTTTGACGAGTCGACGTTGTGTTTATACATGTGTTCTACGAAACGGTGTTCCGTACATGCGTCTACAACGTTCTTAAAAAATTAACGTGCCAGTAAACCGTAAGCTACGATCAAGGATGACCACGATTGTCCAGCTGCTGTCTCGTCGCAGAAAGAACCATGGCGTATTTTCGTCGACTGAACAACTCGGCTACCAAGAGGTAAGTTCAGTTTTTCTGTCTCTTCAGGCTTTCAATTTGTTCACGGTTCAGTGGAATGTTTATTAATGTGTAGCTGCTTTTTTCGGTTATTTTCGAATTGTCGGACAAATGTATGAAGAATAGGAACGAACGTGAAGTTTAGAAGCGCAAAAAGAATAAAACGTTGGTAGTCGCGTGTATGTGGAAATTAATAAGCTACGTATAGTGGATATTACAAAGCGTTTAGTATAAAAACGGAAGGTAAAAAAATCAATATTATTATTATACACGGTGGTGGTCAAAAGGTTTGAAAAATATTCATGGCGAGGGAAAAGGGAATAAAAAAAAAATACTTTTCTGTGCTGACGGCGAGTCTGTCGCAAAAATATACACTTCATAGTAAGTGCTGGGACGTAGAAAGCGTACGTAGCATTTATGCGGCAAGAATAAAAACAAAAGATCATTAATTATTATTTGCAACATTCGCATATTTGTAGAACATGATACTGTAAAACATTTTTACTGAGCTCTAAAATAGTATTTTAAAGAAAGTAATTGCTGCCCATAAAGTCCACAGTGAAATAAAACATTTCTGTTCTATCTCGGTCTTTGTAAATCAGTTTATTAAGTTTATATTTACATGAAAATCGGCTATTTAATTTAAATTAACTGATTGATACGTTCGAAAAATTCTCATGTGAATTTTAACTGGTTAGGAATAAATGATGAAAGCTTAACAAACATTTTATTGTTTTCGATTTTAATACAGAACCGTATAACGTGTGCTAACTAACTTTCGAATATTTAAAGGAACAAATTTCACCTTTTCAATAGAACCCATTATAAATAGAAGCAAATACGTGTCGAACAGTTGTTTGGAATCTATATCGTATTTAATACCATACCAGGCTAACAGAGTATGAAGATTGACACATATTAATCGAGTAACTTCCCTTGCGAGTAAAATCACCCTTTAAATTTCCTCTCATGTACTATCGAACGGGGTACTTACATTGTATATGGTTGGCTTGTTAACTCCTTAACTGTCAAAGCAACAGATAAGAACGCGTAACAATGAATCTCTGTGTGTGCAAGCAAAACTGATTGAGTTCAAGCAAAGTATAATCATAGCCTGCACGACACCCGGCACTTCAAAGCGTATGCGTATTATCGCGTTATAACAATATTTTATTTTTCATTCTTATATGCGCGAAAGTTTGATCAGCAAAGCGGTGGAACTAATGTGAAATTAATAGGGTTGGATAAATTTTTATTGGCATAATAGGCAATATATAAGAATGGGATTTTCATAATAACAACCAATTTTCAATGCAAGTAAACGTTGTTTAAACGATCCTAAAATACAGTGTTAAAAAACAATTCTTATTTTGATTTAAGTGAAAAATGATTAAAAAATAAGTTTTTTTAAGATTATAGTTTTTTAAAGAATCGTTAGATTAATATCATTGTTTTCTGTAGGTAAACGTGAAATTAAAATCGAATGCGAAGAATTATTTAGTAGAAAGTATTATTCTTGATGAAACTCATTATTGCAATATTATGAACTACAAATTCAAATGTATAATTATATTTCGTGGAACTTTTAGCGACAACGAATATATTGAAATTGAGTTCGTTAACTATCTTAATACACTTTCTTTCAATACACTCTCCGCGTCCATTGTAGGTTGCTTTAATTAATTCGACACAAACGGTCCAAAGCTTTTCAATAGAAGCTAAACGAGCAATATATCAATATCGTCGCTGAAGACAGTTACAAAGCACATTTGTTTTAATTACGTTTAAATAATGAAGTAATAAATAATAATTAAAATTATATTCATCGATAATAACTAATCTTACTACTATATATAATTCATTTGGATTTGTTTAAACGGTATAATTCCTTCTGTTTTAATACTCAGTTGAACATAAATTTATTCCAATGTTGTCTCGCATTCGAATATTCTGTGTAACAAAAAATAGATTATACAATATTGTGGTCGAATTCGTTTTCATGCTCTAATGGCAATAGCTTCACGAGGATTCAAGGTTATCGTGTTTTTTGTGGAATAATGTATTTTTGTTACAACATGTATGCGGCATTTATCAAACAAAAAGTAAGATAAAGAAATGCTGCCAGAATGAAACGTTTAAAATTAGCTAACTGAACGCTTCAAAGTGGTATATACCTATTATTGTATAGTGTATTACTTTGAAGAAGCAATCTTTTAGTTCATTACAGATTTAAAAATTTTTTAATCTGATTAATTATATTTGTTTCCTACTTTCGGTAAATAATAGAATACATATATCCATCCTGATAGCAGTAAAACATAATTCGTGTTTAAGTTTATATATTTTCTTGTTTATTTTTATATTGTTTAAACATTTGTTCCCCTTTCAAAAACATAATAAAATTAAGTATATTTACGAGAAAATATTTCATATGTTTATCGTTTATCTATAAAATAACAGTGAAATATTATTATTGGGTAAAATAAAGTTCAGATCTGAAGGGATAATGATAAATCCGCGTATTTACACAAGTATTTTGACTTACGCAAACATATCTGAAATCAGCTTACAAATCCGATCTCGCTTTTGTGCCGCTTAGAGTATACAAATATGTACAATTTCCAATAAAACGTCATTCAATCGTCAATATCAATTTGACACGCGAAATGGGCTCAAATAAATAGCGTTCGCCATCCCAGACTTAATTTTCTATACTTCACAGCAGTATATTTCACAAATGTAGATACCAAATATTTTACATAAATATAAATAACAAGAACGATAGCGAAGTTTGTATTTCAGTGAAGTACGTTTCAATTTTTTTGTCATGAAAGAAATTAATTTTTTAGAAATTGCAAATATAAGAAATATTATGTTTTTATGTATGCCAAAAAATGGTACAGAGTAGAATGTGATGAATATACAAAAATGATATATTCTTATTTTCTAGTATTTCAAAAATTGTTGCTAACAAACGCTGCAATTACAAGATCCAATGCAAACGTGCCTGAAACATTATTTTTCCAAACATAGTAATACCAACAATTACTATTTTCTAGTATAAATACTTTTTAATAACGTAAACTACATTTGGTTTAATAATGCTTTTCACAGTGTACCGAATTCGACACAAACTCTGTTAACATTTAACCGTTGACGATCGGCAATATTTTGTAAGTTTGCAGAAAAAAAAGGTAAACTATAAATTCTGCTAACATATGACCCTTTCCAAAAAAAATATATAAATTTACAAAAAAATTGATAATTGTTATGATTGATAACTTAGCACTTAACGAACGGGACACGTAGATTTACGTATTTACATGTTAACTTAATACTATCCAAAACACCATACTAGTACGAAATACATGAAAACAAGTTTATATCATTCCCCCAAAAATTCCCGGGACTTCAGAAGAATTGACAGAAAACCACTCGTCCGTTAAATGTTAGATATTACTTCAATCTACAACAAAGTCTAAATGGATATTCTTACTCGACCGATTAAATGTTAGTAAGAAATATTCTTTGGCTACCTGGGTTTCGTATCGACTGCTAGGATTTTCTATGCACACGAACGTTGCGCTAGAGAAGTGTTGAAATAAAATCATTCGAAAATTGCACAATGATATGCTAATGTCCGTTAATGAGGTGCACACCACCATCAGCACCACCTGGTACGTATTGAACTCGTTTGGAGACGGAAGCACGGTCGCGGGGACCAAAGTCAGGTTCCGTCGAGCGACGGAACGATTTGCATCGATCTGCATTTCCGATCTATGCGGCGACTATCGATTTGTTGCACCATCATGATTGGTCGAAATCCTTTCAGCGGGATTAATATCAAGGCCAAGACCGGTACACTCATTATATTAACAGTTCTTCTGTCGTAAGTTCTCGTTCAAGGTCTCTGCGGGTGACTACGGGATTTTATCTTCCTTCTTATTTTTTTGTTTTATTCTCTGCGTAATTGGAGGCGCGACTAGACTCCGAGAATTGCCGGTTAAATTATGCAAGACTCCCACAGAGTATCGATAGAGGCAAGAACAACGTACCGTTCCGCCGCGGACACCTGCAACTGCCATTCCCGTTTAACCGTGCTCGCGATCCTGCTTCAACTCCGGGAAATTTTATCCGCGGAACCATCAATAAGTAGATCATCTGTTCTACGTAGAATCATTCTGTCCGGAAATGATTTCCTCGATTTTACACGCGATTTCAACGCGTTTCACGTCGGCTGATTTTCAGAAAAATTGGCTGTGCAGCCGGCGATTTTCAATGACATCAACTTATATCGCTACACACAAGAACACTCGAATATGTTATTGGTATTTAACGTATATTAAAAATAAAATCAGTTATGATATAATCACTTTTAATAAAACATAATATTTTCTGACTTGGTATGGTAATTAACGGAGTTACGTAGGTAATTATATACAAACGAGATTTCTCGTTTCCGGTTCGCAACGTGTTAATGAATATTCTTAATTAGTTAGTTGAAGACTAAATTCATTTATTATTATTATATAAATTCACATATTATTATTATGTTCGAAAGTTATATTTAGCATATGAAAATGCATAAGAAGTGCTTTTTAAATTTTATAACATAAAAGAAATTTAAACACTAGCTGACCAGTTTGATCATTGAAAGATAAACCAAGTTTCCGTCTAAGGTCTTTTTAAAGTAATTGCATTGGTATTAACTAAAGTAAATATTACGTTAAATAAATATCTTGCCGTTCTAGGTATCGTCGAAACCAATAGATGCACAACTTGAAAACCGAAGGGTATGAGGATCGCAACGATGGTAACTGTTGCATACTTCCATGACAATGATTCTAACCAGAATCAAGAAAACGTCCGAACAGTTATAAGGGTAGCGATTCAGTAAAAGGAAGAGAAAGAAGGATAACACGAAAAACCAAATCATGGGATCCCTGCCGAATCTTCACGAGTTGTCTAAGGACAAGCTAGAGAGTCCTGCTTACAGGCCAGCACCGATCGGTGGTTTAGGACCTATACGACTGCCAGCTCAACCTCCACCACTAGCACATACACATAGACGCGCCAGAAGTAATGGTCATCACCATAATCTGTGGGATAACGATGCTATGCTAGAGGTATAATAACGATTATCAAACTCTTCTCTTATAAAAACAATACTGCTGATCGGAAGATCAACAGATTTCCTTCACCTTGAAATATAGTAAAAGAAGATATTGCATTGAATCTATGTACAACTTCAAAACTGAATTTGAATTTAAGTAATTCAAATAACAATTCGTAATTAAAATACTTTAAAGTCCTATATTATCCAAATAATACCTTTTATTGCATGTTTATTATAATTATCGAACCAGTTCAAGAAAGAACTCTAAATTCGCAGCACATGGCAGCTTATTCGCCCATCTCCTGTCGTTCGACAAGGACTTCCGCTTTATCGTGGCGGCGACGAGACTCGATGAATTCATCGGCAGGAGCATCATCGGTGCGTCGACTGATTGCCGCCGTGAGAGCTGCACCCTCTGGTCCTCGGCCGCCGAAAAAAGCAATTCTGAGGCATTGCGTGGCCCTCCTCTTGGGCCATGCTACCTGTTCAGCCGCCACGTTGCCCATGTTTCCATTGCAGGCTGGTCTCGGCACATTCAATCCGCATTTAGGACCGATGCTTTTAGCTCTTCTCTACGCGACCGCAACGATCACCAGCTGCTTTGCACCGATCCTCGTGCAAAGACTCGGAACTAATCTCGCGATAAGTTCCACTCATGTAATTACCACTGTCTTCGTCGGGGTGCATCTTTATCCAAAATGGTAGGCTCAGTTATGAAATCATGCTGCTTCCGCTTTGAAAACAAATTTTTGATCATGTAACAAAATTTTCGATAAAATTACACTGTTCGATAAATTATAATTTAACTTCGAATTCATAAGATTCATTAAGCATTGTTTATAGACTTTCGAGCAGTGAATACGAACCTGTAAATTCCTTTTCCCTGAATGTGGTTCTGAAGTAATCGATTTAGGAAAATACGAATTTTCAGTTTCCAGTACGTTTCATAGTTTAAAAGTAATAATTAAAATAATTAAATACTGAAAGAATGAAATTTGTAAAAGATTACTGAGCACTCTTATCGAAACAATTGGTTTGAACAAGTCTGTGCTTTAGGTAAATGCTAAATAATGTATGGTGTTAAATTTAAATTCAAGTATTTACTACTCATGTTTTTGTATTAACAGGTACGTGCTATTACCTAGTTATGCAGCACTAGGTGCTTGCATTACACCGAGTTTCATAGCACGAGTTTCGCACGTAAACACATCAGCAACTAGTCTAGCTCTGGTGTGCGTTGATCCCGAGGATCCTGATGAAACAAGACGCGAGTGCCTTCTGAGACGACTTAATAGAGGAATTAAATTAGCAGAAGACATAGGTCTCGCACTGGGTATGAAATACACGATTATAATAATAATAATAGTAATAAATCATTTGTCAGAATAGCAAAAGGTCTTCTCGTTTTTTCAATATAGCGTCTGTATTATAATACAAAATAAATATATACACTGAACAATGATAGAATGTTTCTAAATAAAACTTATCTCTACATTTCTTGAACAAACCCAAGGAGACATTGACCAACTCAATATTACAATTCCATTAGTAATATCAAATAATAACAATAAGATATCAATGAAATAATTTATTACTTAAAATAATCAGTTTTAAGTTGATATTACAAAATAATATCTGTAACTGTATGTTTTTTTCAGGTTGTCTAATCGCTGCCATACTTGTAAAACTGACAGATTCAGTACCATTTGATACATTAAACAATGAAACAAATGATGTCTGTGGAGCCGAATATTGCCCAGAGGAAGTATACCTTGAAAATGGCACAACTAATATACCATTACTACCACCTGGAACATCCAGAATACTGATCAGTATATGGCTTGGTCTTGCAGTCCTTGGTTTAAGTATATCCTGTGCTTTTCTTGATTCTAGAATGAAAGAACCACAGAACGTGAATGAAAAGCATAGCACTCAAAATATCCTTGCATCTGTAAAATCTGCATTTCAAGATCCCAAATTACAATTGGCTGCACCTCTAACTCTTTTTATCGGACTTGAGCAAGGATTTATCTACGCAGATTTCATAGAAGTAAGTAATATGATTTAATCTTCTTATACTATATCTACCTTTACCTTATCAAAAGTTCATTTTCTATTAGATACTCTGTATTTTTATTTTCTTACAATTGTCCTTATATTTTAAGATATTCTGTGTAGTTTTATTATGTTTCACGTTGCAATAACTACTCAATTGTTTGTATTACAGGCATATGTAGTATGTGCTTTGGGAGGAGCTGGCACAGTAACTCTAAGTTTTTTAAGTTTAGCATCATTACAAGCCCTTGCTGGTGTAACACTATCGATGTTATTAAGACACATAAAAAGATATTTTGTTGTAGGTAAGTAAGCAACTTCTAATACATAATTTAATTTTGATGTACTGAACTTTCAGTTTTACTAACTACTATATTTTTTTTATAAGTTGTTGGATTTGTATTCCATGCTTGCTTATTACTGGTTCTGATGACATGGAGACCATCTGGTGATGATCCAGCTCTCTTTCATGTTATATCTGCTGCTTGGGGAGTTTGTAATTCTATTTGGGAAACTCTAATATATAGTAAGTATATATGTAAGAATAAAAAAAACTTAATTTAAATTTGAAAATATTGATATTAATCATTTGTGATTGTATTCAGAGAATATCAGTTATGCAAATCTATTTAAAAAATTATAGTAATATGACCTATTGATTTAATGAAATTAAAACATCTATGGTTTAATCTGATATAATAACTTATAACAATAATAATAAGAAAAAATTATTTGTATTCCAGCACTAGTGTTGGGTTTATATCCAAATTCTTGGCAAGGACCTCTATCAACATCTCTTTTTTGGAGATGGCTTGGTCTTGCTTTAACACTTGGTTTACATGGACTAGTCTGCACACAATTTAGGGTACTAGGCCTTGCTTGTGTACTACTTCTATCTGTGGTTCCTTACATATGGCTAGAAATTAGACTAGCAAAAAGAGGTAAAAGTTTGGCACCATTGTGACTGGGAAACTCAACTACGAGTGATCATGGTTCAAGCACTAAAACAGACGCTCGTTACAGAGATTGAGACAAACTCGTTCTATTCAACTTAAGAATGGCTAAGAGACATAGTAGAAGCAGGAAACCTTTTATGTTATATGGTACAAGTAGAACAAAGAGGTGCACACGACGGAGAGCTCACAGTGTTGCCTTTGCAAGTAATATTGAGCAGAATGTAAATACAAAGGACGTTCTGTTACAATGTTCACCAATAACTGTAGATAACCATCAAAAAAGTACTAAAGCTGATGACAGCTCTGTTCTTCCTGTCTCTTCAAGCTGAATTTATAATAAATTCTCAGTAATCTCAACATTTAAATAATAGACTGGGATAAAATAACCGATCAGTTTTTAATTAATGATCTAATTTAATTGTATTTTAACTCAATTATAACTTAGTTACACTGTAGAATGTTTATACTTTGTCATAAAGTTTATACTTCAACTACAAGTTATATTCTTAGATGAGACTCCTCATCAAGTAATATATTTCTTTTCAAAACACTCATATTAAAGTCTTTTGATACCAATAATTGTAATTATCTCTTTTGATTGTTAAGATACATGGAGTGTTTTCTACACTGATTCAAGGAATCATTTATAATTCATATCACAGTGTTATATACCGCTTAATTTGAATTAATATTAAATACAACATCAGAAAAAGGAAGAAATAAGTAGAATGAATTGATTAAAATATTCAAGACTTTAAACAACAATGATAAAATAAAATTGGAAAAAATTTCCATTTCGGTATATATAACTTCTAAATAATTTAAATCGAATGTAAAATCTTTTGAATCAAAATATTAAACTTTGTGATACTGACTTATCCCAACAAAATTGATATAATAAAAACTTATTTATAAAAGAAAATTATGTAAAACGAGGAGCTATAAAAATACGTATAAACATTGAAATACCATAAACAACACTAAATATCGTTTTACCTGATATTTAAACAAATTTTACATTAGAATTATAAAAATATTCTTCATAATCTAATTATTATATCATTTAACTGTGAAACTTGAACATCAATCTACCCAGTCTATTTATTAAATGGTATTTATTCAGGGAAGTCTTTCTTCAAGTTGAATGGAACGTGCGTACGTGTGATCATAAAAATTTCATGCAACAAAGTATAAATACATGCTCTCGCGGGCAAGCTGTTGTTCCGCTATAGGTACGGTCGATTTAATAAATCGGTATCGTACAAGACTGAACGATAGCAAAATATATAAATACATACGTATATTGTTAACGATCGAGCATACCAATCATAGTAATATCTCTCTGACAAATCATTAACTGACGTTCAACGTCGAAACGTACCTGATGTCTTTCAAAACCCAATTAATTCTAATCTAACAAAGAAATGGAATCCATGAATCACATCTACCTTCTTATCACAGAATCGAAATGGAATACTATAAGAAATGTAAAATAGAGTCATAGTTCGACTATAGTTATAAAAATCGATATCAAAGATATTTATATGGAAAGATGAGTAAATAAGCAAGTTACGAATTTATTGTATGAAAGACAACATTTCTAATTTCTTTTATAAAGAATCTTGCCGTTTTATGTTAAAAAAACATTCCATACGTTATACGATTCCGATGTTAGTATATACATCATTACTATACTCGTCTATCGATAAATTTCAAGAAGAATCGAATAATTCTAAGTCAATAATTACTTATTAACATTAAAAAAAAAGAAATAAATGTCATAAATCTTTTTTAACCGTAAACGTTCTCTGTTTTCAACATTATCTATTTGTTATTTATTACTTTTGCAACTATATATCGAAGAATTGAAATTTAAGGGTAACATATTGTATCATTACTATCTTTGTAATGATTATTCGTAATGATCTTGAAATAAGCACAAGTAAGAGTACTTGAAATAATTTCATATTTATCCTGTTTTTCAATATGTCATCTTCCAAAATAATCCTTGCCATATCGCAGGTACATATAATTCATTTAAATCATGCTTTCTTCCTATAGAATTTTTACCTACACAAAGGATACCATGCATCATTACATCAATAATGCTGCTACATTTTCTCATAGAGTTTAAGGTGAATGAAATTGTAATGATATAAAAGAAATTGAAATACAAATTAATACATGTTATCTTGGATAATGTTACAATATAGAAAATCAACATGTTTCATGATAATTTAGCAAATAGGTATTTATATGAAATATTTCCTAATTTATAAAAATCAATAAAAAACAAACAAATAGCCGGACTATTTGTAAATTTTACAAAAAAAAACTTTTGAAATACAAAATCACCCTCCTTGTTACTATATAATTTTCAAAACATGACTGATCATTTGTATTGACTTATGATGATGCGTTCAAGCCAAGCTAATCAACATAAAAGTAATTCATTTAGCAGTATCACGTTTATATGTACACCGATATATTTTGCAATATTAAAATTAATAATATCACTGAGATCTGTACAAGAGAAAATATAAGAGGAACGCTTTATAAAGCATCAACAATATGCAAGAGAAAAATAATGTTACTTGTTGTACAGCTAGGACAAGAACATTACTTCCGATACATCTCAAATATTCAGCAATAAAATTGCTCATTCTGGTTTCGTTGGAAAACGCGATAGTCCTCAACCATTGAGCCGGACTTGCACAGTGACGGTCAATTTCGTTACAAATAATGGAAGCAAATGTTTGTGTCCTAGTAAATGAATACGGATTTATAAACGGTATTGCAAAAGCATATATTAACTGTATTTCGTGAAATAATAAATATTATCTTATTTTATATTGATCAAAGTTTCAATGTACTTTCATTTCCTTTGCGACATACTTTTCTTTAAAAAAAAAGGAAAAAGAAATATTTTAAGTCGGTTCCAATTAAAAATGTCTTTACCGAAAAGCAAATACCAGAATATTATTATAACCATTTTTTCACTTATTAAATTACATATATATATATGTATATATATATATCCCATTCATAATAAGTCAATATTACTATATAACATTATACTAAAACAATATATTGAACACCACTGTACTACTTTCATCATAAATATATTATTCACACTCAGGCAAATAGTTATTATAATATTCGAGCCAAGAAAGAATGTCTTGTATATTTTCACTCTGGCAGTAGAATGCACGGTCGAGGTAGTAAACGTCCCTTGTGTATAGTCGTACATACTGACTCGTACAATTTTGTACGAAGATAATCTCCGTTTCTTCACATTCTACTGGCTTTTATTTACTAATCTTGTGTCATTCTCTTATAACTTCAATTTTATAAGTGATGAATTCAATCCATCATGGCATATAGTTTATACTTATAGCCTATAAGTTTGTAACATTATCTATCTAAAGTATTGTCATCATCACGAGACGTGTAGAAGTTAATTCATGTATTGACGTTATAGCCGAACACTAAATGTAACAAGTAGAATTATACCTATATCACTCACATTCCACATACCATTAACCATATAAGAACTTTTAGCTATAGCCCGTATAACTTCAACAATGCCCCTTTATATTCTTTTGTTTAAATTCCTTTCTAGATTTGCAAATATAACGTCATTCCGGGAGTTTACTTAACTTCAACACAAATTATACCCCTACAAAACTTCTGTTCTACAGAACAAAATGTTTCTATCCGACAATTGCAAATACAAACTATATACGCATTCCGAATGCAGTACAAATGTATAATAACACAGGAGATCATAAAAAAATTGTACGTTCCATATATTATCTAAATGAAATTAAATGTTTACAGCGGTTGTATGTAAATATGTACGTATAGATTAAAATATTAAACACAAAAGAAAATCTGTTAATCTCTACAAAATCTCTACATCTGTTGATCTCTACAAAAAAAATACTGACGGGAAAGTATTAAAGTTATGCAACTGTGTATAAATTATCCATCGAAATTTCAAGTGTTTTCATTTTTAAAAAAGGAAAATGTTGCTCAGCAATTTGCAATACATATAAAGATATCATTAACCTTTCCATTTTCAACAATATAAATTTCCACTGAGCAAAAGCACAGGTTTCGTCGCTACATACGTAAAACTCTTTCTTAAAACTTGACAAGAATTTATTATTTATAAATTATAAATCTTTTTTGATATTTAATTTTCTTAAAATTAATTCATAAAAGAAAAAATTATATCAAAGAACCGTGTGTAAGCCGTATTAATTCCTGGGGCGCATCATTTAAACAGCAGCATAGTGTATTCATGATTATTATTATCTGATAAGACAAAGCAACTTTAGGCTGAAGCAACGTGAATTAAATACTTATGCAACATGTCACGATTACGTACTTTTTTCAATTCCTAGTTTGCAGTTTATCACTGTTTCAGCCCAAGATTACTTAATTTTTATCTCAACATGCGTAGTAATCACATATTAAAAAGTGGCTCTTACCGTATGCTTGCAGCACATAATTAGCAAACATTTTCAACATTTTAATTTTCAACAATTTATCGTTAATTTGTTAAAAGCTCATAAGAGCCACTTTCTAAAGCTATGTGCAAACACTTCCACTCAAATCAAACAGATTCTGCTACGACTTGCAGTCCCTAGTATTTGCCAATACTATCACTTTGGTAATAACCGTTCATGGTAACTACGCATAAAGCATTGAAACTGAGCTGAAAATTCATTCCACACGAGTATTCCACTTAATTAAATGCAGTTCGCTACAGATATAATTTTACAGTTGCATATTTGGAAATTATATTTCTTCAAGAGAAATACTAAATTACGTAAGTCAAGAAGTATTTAAACATGTCCATTATAAATAATCGTGCACGCACGCACTACGAGATTCTTAAATAAAATATTAGTAACAAAGCTAATACATTTCAAACAATCATATATATTTTTTCCATATTAATTAAAATTTTATTTAGAATGAATTGATCGAATTTTGTATTTCCTCGTAGAACCTTTTCTGAACAACGACCATATAAAAGGTTACTGCGAACGAGATTTCGATAATTTTTATATCTTCTCTCCTTTATAAAATAAACTACTGAAAATATCGATGTTCAATATTGTATCACGAATGTACTAATGAACACGGTATTCATTAACAAAGCGTAAAACGTGCTTATTATTATTATTAAAAGTCATAGCGCAGTTCACTGAGAGTTTTCTGTAACAAACATAAGGAATAATGAACATAGTCCTACCATATGGTGCGATTTTGAGCAGTTTTGCACTTGATAACGTCACACCGAGGAAATTTTGCGTAATGAATAACACTGCAAATACTTCCATTCACACACACGCGCGCACGTTACTCTGCGTACCACAGAAGTCTTTTTTTTAATAATTTACAATCACTACTTAAGTTTGATACTTAAAATCTGTCTGTGCAAAGATACGAATCAGCTGCTCAGACGGGAGTGTAGTTGCCCTTCGGTTTGTAAAATATCTGGCCGCGCACAAAGCGTCTCATAATTTCAGCTAATAAAAGACGTTTCTCCTTCTTTATTTTCTTAAGTATGCCTCGGTTTTCTTGTGCACGTCGAGAAAGATATGGCAATACTTCTTTCACCGGACCATAAGGAATATATTTATATGCGGAATACCCTGACTGACCTGAAATTCAATTGTCAAAAATTTAATTACCAAACAATAAAGAAAATTCCTTAAATTAATAAACTACTTTCCAACAAAAATTTCATAAAACTAACTATATACTATATGAATGCAGAACAACAAATCTACAAAGACAAAAATAACAGATCAGGATCACATACGAAACACAATAAACTAACCCAAAGAAATAAATATATTCAACAAAATATAAAACTGAAGTATTTGCTATCGTCGCTAATAACCTTACAATAGATGCGACATATAATAAAAACGAAGAAAAAGAAAAGAAGAAGAAAAATTTCATAGTTTATTTTAAATTATATTATTTAAATATAAAGTACACACCCAATGGGAATGTTATGTAGTCACACATTCCCAGCAATTGGCCGAAACAGATCACTTTATCTTCCGGTGAGATTCCTATCTCCTTCATCCTAAGTGAACATTAAAATCGTTAATTGCTTTCAAGAAATAAAATTGAGTCACAGAAATTTCTCAAAGCGTTACTCATTACATACTTTTCAATTGCGAAGCGTACTGTGTCCTCATTATGAGACGCAACCATAATACCAATTTTTCTAGGATCTTCGCCTTTATCTTTGTACTGTTTCATCCGCCTTAAGCATTCCATAAGCGTCTTATGGTACGACTCGGTTGTAGCCTCGTACGTAGGATTCGTTGGATCAGGATAACCCATAGCTGCCGCTCTTGCTCTTTCCTAATACCCGAATGACATAATAGAATGTTATGTAGTTGATATTATAGTGTTTACTTATACGTTATTTAATCAATCCGGTAAGCACTAATCTCATCCGGTTCACCTTAAATCTTGTAATCAATTTATATTAACAAGCATAATAAATGATAAAATTACCTGCTCAATGTAAGCGCCGCGAACAAGTTTAGCACCGAAATAGAAATTTTGGCGTTCAGCTTGTTCGAGGTCCGTTTTCACCTCATTATAAGCTTCTTGTAAGTATGTCTGGTAGGTATTAAACACCACAGCCTATGAAGTAGACCATTGGGAGTCAGAAATCATTCACTGAAAATTTACTAAGTGATAATAACATATCTACGATAACAAAACATTACCTTATCTGTATTGTACTTGCGCATCATCTCCAACGTCAATCGTGAAATGGCAGGTTGGAAATAGGTTTGTTCGGCATCTATCATTATACGCACATTCAACTTATCAGCCACCTGAAACAGAAATTAATAATCCTGTCTATGTCAACTAACAAAATATTCTTGTCACATTAGAATTATAATAGAGTTTCATCTCTTTTAATACTCGATTAACTCTTTATTTATCATGAACAGTTTAATATTCTAATATATTATTTCTACTGTATTCATACCGCAACTATATTATTCAGACGTCTGATCATGTTCCTGAACATTTCTTCTTCCTTTGATGTCAGTTGTGACATAAGCCTCACCATTTTCCCTGTCTTAATATCAGGTACTTGGAAAGTTTCACTAAGTTCATAATTCTCATCCAGAATACCACTCCATGGGAACAAGTGAATAACACTGAAATCAGATAAAACAGATTAGGAACTACAGTCTCTGTAATTAATTTTAAAATGCTTGCTGTAAATAATAAAGATTAAGAAATTGTTATATTTTACATTCATTGTTTTAAGATACATTATAGAATTTAATATGTGAAACATGAAGGAAATAAATGTGAAATGATTAAATAATATGAAAAAATAGTATGAAAAATTTAATGGATCATAACAAAAGAATATAATATAATATAAATATAATACTATGATGTAGCACCACGTATAAAGAAAGTTACCCCTCTTTGTCAGACTGAATCTTTTGAAGAAACTTTTGCACTGGAGCCTCATCTTTGATGTGTGCTTCTTCAAACTTCTTCATGAAGTCATCAGGTTTTGCATGATGAGTTAAAACAGCACCTTCACCTCCAATCACGTCAGACATATATTGTCGTGCCCTCATAATTACTTCTGATAACTGGAGCTAGAAAAGAAATTACAAAATGACTTACATAATTCATTGAATATTTCGTGTTATTAATAGAGAATCACATATATAATTGTTTTGAAAAATGTTTTACATACCAGGAGTTGTGGCCGACCAAGAGCTGTTAATTTAATAGCTGTAATACCAACTCCCATTGAAGCACCTGTACAAAAGTACACGAAAATTAGAAAAATGTAAATAAAACCTTACAATGTATTTTGCAACTAATAGTGCATTTGAAATAGTGCAACCCTCAACCTTCTATCTTGCCTGGAAGAGTAAATAAAGGGAAAATTTGGATATTCAAATTTTTAGTGACATCATTTACATTTTTATCACAATGATGTATCATTATGCTTATCATGTTCAAATTTTGAGCTTAAATATGTATTTTCCATATTCAGCAATATGATATATAAATTAAAAGAGTTAAAATTCAACCAATTATAAATATTAAATAAACCAAAAGTATGTTTTTAAACAATAGAACAAAAATTTGTTCATCTGTGTTTCTGTAACTACAATCTGTCAGATATTTTTTAAACCATTAATTATAGACAGCTGTACAGAATTTTATAATCCAAATTATCCCTGTACCAACCACCCTAGTTCATATAGGGAGTTGAAACTGGACACAAAATAATTTTCTTAATAAATTATTCAATTATTCCATCCATGAAAGAATTTACAATCTTACAATTACATTGTATCTGAATCCAATCTCTTATGTATAAGTAGATTTAGAAAACCAATTTTCATTTAACTTCATTTTAAAATAAATCAATAATAAAAATAAGAAATAATCGATAATAAATCTGTTTCATGTATTGAACGAGAGTTAAAATTTATATGAAAACTTCAAACTTTAAAGAAAAAGTAAAGATTATAGAAGTAGATTAAAATGTAATTGAATTAAATGATATCGGCGCATTTCTTGAAATGAATTCCCAGAACCACTTCAAACCATACACAGTCAAATGGAATGTACACTTTACTAGTTGCACAATTAGTTGCAAGGTTACAATTATGTTAAGCGAGGCACATAGATATTTACAGAACAAATCGGATAGAGTCTATGTACTTGAAGGATGTTTTCTTCTTCCAGGACAAGGATCGAGTTCGATATTGATTTTAATTTAGTGTATGGGATATTTCATGTTTAAAGTTTTAACATCGTCCTCTGCAACACCACATCACAATTAATAATACTATTAAATAATAAATACATAGGCTGCAAATATTCATGCGCATATCGATTTTCATGAATCAATTGACAAATATTAATTAAACTTAAATGAGGATAAATTTAAGAAACACTTTGCTAAACTTCAATTAATCTTTTGCAACAAATGCATAAAATTTGCAGTCTAATAATATAAAGTATACACATCTAAATTAAATATTAACGACAATTTTCGTATTGCTATATTAAATATTAGTACGCTTTAATATACAAGGACTGTAAATATTTACAGTGCAGCTCTCACGTTCTCAACCGCGATCGACAAGCTAAATGTGCACAATGGGCAAAGGGAGACGTCCACTCGTGGCGCTCAGTCCGATAGCTATGATAACCATAATGCCTCGTCCTTAGCATATCCTTAAAGAACGCAAACGAAACAAATGCGATGAAGTGAAATGTACATACTTTTTATATTTAACGAATTCTGTGCACTTTTAGCTTTATCGCACTCAGGAACGTAAGAGCTGTATTGTACTTAACACATAACATATATTATATACGAACTTAGTATTTCGTAGCTATTTTAGTAGCTATTTAGTATTTTACAGTTAAAATACATTTATTTCACCTATATCGTTCAGCTATATCATTTATTTCATCTATATCATCACCTGTATCATTTATTTTTCAACTGGAAAATTGTAAATAATAAAGTAATTTTTGATACCTTTATCCCGAACCAAATCATAAAGCAATCATTAATGGCAAAGTAAAAAAATCGAGTATTCGTTAGTATTAATAAATTATTAAATATTGACTACCGATCGTTCCAAAATTTTTACCTAAAAATATCCTTTCAAAGAAACTAAATGATCGCTTGTTTTTGGCACAAAAAATAGTGCATATTGAAATTATCAACTCGAGGAATTCATTTAAATCAATAATCGTCTAACGTTATCATTTCGTCTCGCATCGAGTGAAGCAACATTCGGCTGTTCCGAATTATAATACATTATTCAAATGGATCGGAAACTTTTTCAGCGATTCGAGGCACCGTTATGCCACGTTATTTGAACGGTTAGGCGAATACAAGATTCTCTAGGGGAGATATTTATAGATGGGTACGTCCACGCGTTTCCGTCGACCAAAATTTTCAAAGTCTATCGAGAACATTTTTCAGTATCGAGCACGAGATCAATCTATAATTAAAATGATCAAATTTTTAGGCCGATCTGTTATTTAACTCTATTACTTTCGTTTAACTGTACATTTTTGTAACAAAAATCAATGATCACGGATTCAAAATAAAACTTTCAATCTTGACCTGTACAATCATGATTTGAATTAATCAAATATTTGCTTTGCTGGTAACGTAAAACTCAACAATGACGGAACGAGCTCTGAGTACGACATTAATCTTCCAAAAAAAGGAGTACAGTAGAGATCTTGTATTCACACGTTTTTTAATCGAATACTGTAATATGTGAACATTCTGTGATTCGGATACAGTGTCTTCTATTAACAAAAACTTAGTGCAAACAAATTCCGTGATTCTAGTTTTTGTAATTCAACATCCAACGAAATATAGGATTTATAAATAGTTAAACAAATTATCAACATTCGTTCACTATCTTTGTTTAATTCTATTGCAGTACTCGGCTCGCATAAATTTCATTAAATTTGTATCATACGTGAAAATTGAATAAATAATTTAATATTTTTTTCCATTATATATTATATAACATCACCAACGAATTTTTCTTTTTCATTCCACGAAATTATTCAATTATCCTGATGTCCGATTGCTTGTCACCTTCGATTAATTAATTTAATTTTCTTCAATCTTATCGCGAATTTTTTTTAACGTCTGCCATTGATAAATTTTGCAAATTAGCGATCGCCGATAAAAAGCATTCAACCCTCCAACGATATAATACTTCAAGATGAACGTATTAATATTTAACTATCATTAAATGTTTTTTTCTATAGTTATAATTTTGTCTTACGAAATTAAAGTGGACTCTCTATCAGGCGAACCGGCTGACACGTGGACGTAGAATTTTGTTAAACATCAAAATATTACAGTATTCGTTGATAAAAGAAATGTAACATTGCCTAATAAGACTGTGTGATAAATTGGCGGTACAGCTTGCGAGATTTGAAAGTCGCCTTGACTTCTCTAAACGAAACACATGGTATTTTCCATTGCGTGGCTGATGTAACAACAATGTTAATTAATGGCTTACAGTGTCGCAACGTTCGGATATCCTAAACTCTCAATAGCATATAAGAAACATACATAAAAACTGCCATGATTTCCACACGATTATGCTGCGTATACATTCACCGTGTTTATAAAATCTTAACACTTTGCAATTGGTTATCTCTTTTATGGAGACAATCAGCTTCATAACTCCATAGCAGCCGCGCAATGGCTTAAGTGGCATTTCGTTGCCAAAATCAAATTAGTTCGACATTAAAATTTAAGTGTCACGTGTGTGTGGATACTACTTTAGTATGTTCTCCATTACTTTCATCCTTTCATTCTACTTATTTATATTGTATAAAGGACAATTAGTCAATATCTACATCTACTTTTTATAAATGTATTAGATTTTTTTTTGTGGAATGCACTTTTATTGTACAATTATTATACAAGTCGCTTTTTAATTATTTTTTAAATAAAGCTACAGAAAAAATCAAATCTATCTTTTTTTGGTGTGCAAGAATTACATTTAAAAAATATATATTTTCTTTTTGTATTTAAAAAATATATAACTCTTTGTATGTGTATCATGTTTAATTAAAATCGCCGGCTGCAAAATGGAAAACGATTTTCCTCGAATAATCGACCTTGACTCGGATAAAGTCGAATCCGCCGAGATTTCGTTCCCGTTCGTATCCGCGTTTGAAACTTTTAGATGATTTACAACGCGCAATATAGCATTTAATTAACCATACAACAGCTTTCACGCGTTGTAAACGTTTAATATACATTCCGTGAAGCGATTACATTAAGCCGCAATGATTTGAGACATTGACGAGTATACGACGCGATAAGCGATAATCTCGAAAATTAGTAATGTTGGTTATTTCTAATTCACGTGACGGATCTTGAGAAAAGCGTAAAATGAAAAAGCCGATCATTTATTTTAGTTGTATTATTGTCCGATCAAATCTGGAGTTATTGAATTTAATATTGGGTTTTCATATTGTGGATATGTTATCTAACATTCGTTTTTTATGATTAGGTGCACGAATGTTTGCTCGTTGCAATAAAAATTTGAATTTCATTCACTGCGAATATACTTATCAAATTAGCAAGCGCAGACGTTGATTAGTGAGTTTTTTCGCTTACAAAATTAATACATTAGCGTAAGAAGTATAAATAATTACTCCTGCTCGATGTAATTATGGACTGAGTAATTGCCAATGCTGGACGTGAGCCACAAATTTAATGGAAATTCTATACGACCTACAGGCAATTAACACTGTCGTATTTTCATGATTTTTGAATTTGTAACAGTCTGGCATAGAACACTGAAATAGAACATATCTCTTATGGAATGTTATAGGAATCCTACAACTATTGCCATAAAGATATGCGACCTTCCGATAACGTTGGATTCGTTCTCATGAAGATGTATTGGTACATATGATATAGACACATCAATTTCTACGATGTACCATTATTTTTACCTTTTCTCATTGCGTAGATTTTTTAAAATATCATTTTTTTTAAATTCTAATTTTTTACTTTAAACGTTCTTGGTGCTTCATAGGTAAACAAATTTGAAATTTCACGTTTATTCTTAAGCAGCGATACCCAAGAATCGCAGAACAACGCATTCGTCATTTGAATAAAAACTTCGTTCATTATAGACATTTTCCATCACTTTTATCGTGAACAACAATGTTTTCCAACGTTTTTTTATAAGATAGATGCTTCAAATAAAAAACAAATTTTTGATGAATATAAATTTTATATTACACTTTATATGTTAAAAAATATAAATCAAACTTCATTCAACAAAAAAAACCAAATCTAATTAATATGATCCTTGAACCTAATGTTTATTTGACTTCAGTTGTATTAATTTAGTTTAAATTTTTATTTAAAATCTCCACAAAGTAGGATACCAGATGATTTCTCTTTTAGTAATAAGTCATTTACAATTTAATAACAGTTTCCGGAAAGTCAGGGTTTACAAGGTAAGTAATTTATCACCGACAGTGATCTTTTAACTATAAGAAATGACGAAGTGCATTTCGTAATTACCCCTTAAATTATTCAAACTATTCCCACGTTGGAAGATACTGACATGTATTTAGACAACCAATTATCATACCACCATACATTTAGACATAAATTACACGTAATACATTTGTTATATGTATTAAAGGTTTTACTGTATATCCAAGTAGCATCTAAGTAATTCATACACCACATCAAACACAGTCAAATCTAGCTCCATATATTAAACGTTTACTTCACTAAAAGAGTCTAAAAAATCACTTAATTAATAGAGAATAATTAGTAAAAAAAATGACCGCTTACGCAATAAACCCAAAATCCTACGGATGAAACAGAAGAACTACAAATCACAGTTACCCGATACCTGCCAGATAATACTTCTAGTGCACAGAGTTAACGTATTGGCAGCCGTTGACGTACATCCACATCACTTTCAAATCAACAACGAGTCACTGCTGATACAGTCCCTCGTCGTTTGTACTACTTAAATTTATTTGAATTTGAATAAAAATTCTGAATATGATATGTGAAGCAATATTATTTGAATCTCACTTCAGTAGCAAATCTCTGTAGCATTCGGCTATAAACTTTCAGAAATTCTACGTGACATCTACCTGGGTATCTCGTGCCAGAACCGTCGGCTGCCAAAATGTCAATTTATCAACGGACTGTGATTGTCGTGAGTGAAGGATCTATCACGAGTATTTACAAGCATCTCAATCATCCGTTTCACAGCATCAATATTACAATTTATTGTAAAATATATTTAGGAGTGAAGGGTTTATAGGTGGCACAGTCGGAGTAATCCTCTAGCTTCCGGGGCTAGGGGTTGACTCACCTGCAACAGACTCAAGGCATCGAATAAATATATCCATGTTCCGTTCGCAAGATGCTTCGTTGAGGTAGAAGTACGTCCTCGCCGAGGATACTTTGTACCGTCGGTCGGCGAATGGTTTCGCCACATGATACTTCTTCAGAGGACCCTCTCGTTTCTCGTCTCCAGCTTCGGATACGGAACTCCTGCAATCGATCATCGCGCTCGTTATCGATTCGTTCTATCCCCTTTCAATTTAATTTACGGTTAACCCTTTGCGGTCCGAAGTGCTTTCGGTTTTTCATTCTGGAATTTGGACCAATGCTATTAGGTACTGAAAAAGTTCGTATGGATTTTTAAACCAAAATTTGAAAACAGAGAACATTTTTCTAAAATAATTTCATTTCATTGAATACCAACAGCATAAACATAACTTGCTGCTAATACCAATTTCATTTATTAAACTAGTGAAATACTGATTGAAATCGGACCGCAATTCATTGCTAACAAGAAAGCCGCACAGACTTTTCCCGGCAGCTAATGCAGTTAGCCCACCATGTCCAAGCCGAGCTCCGGCAAGATAACAGTGCACAAAGACAAGGAGACTCGACCGCACCACGCTTCAACTCGGTCCTTCCAAGAAACAGTCCTCAGGCCTGTGTTGCCGGGATTCCATAAATATAAGAAGCCAGCGGAACGAAATCCGACAGCAATGTTCTTTACATCTCACTCCGTCGTATTCTGTTCCGTCTGTTTCCTTCGTTACAGAACTATAACACCAACTGTTCTATAGCTATTGACATGAGCATTTTGAGTGGATGAGTCCCCTTGCCCCTATGACTGTTTATTTTAGCGGAGCTAGGCATGGACGTGGTGGACCAACTGTACTTAACACTAGATTTATGGAATGCGCGAATTCGACGTATATTGAATTTTATAAGCATTATATGGTAAATGTTTATGTGGATTTTGGTTGATGTAGTTGCACGAATATGTATTCTAATCATCTATTTTTAAACCCCTACTTTCCAAGATCTAAATGAACGGATATCCATTTTGCTAGGAACAACAGAATAAACTGTATAATAATGTCCGAATGTTATAAATTTAATAAAGTGTCCAACGACATTTTTCCTCGAAAGCAGAGGCAACAGACAATAAATAAGAGACACTCCCGAATTTCCGCTCGTTGATACGTAAACAAATAAAGAATTCTGTTCGGCAGAACGCTATTATTACGACAATCACCGATACTTGTCCCGCCGACAAGAGTCTTTAAATTCTCACCTGGCGGGACATTACAAATGCGTGTCAGCGTCAACGCATCAGTGGAGTCGGAAGAGTATGGCGAGTTGCCATTCAGCTTTCGAAGGATTTATGATAGGGGCTTAAGTAGTCTGCGTGCGGTCTTAAATGAGGGTGAGTGGGGTTGAACGATGCTGTCGCTGGGCGATGGCTAGTGATTGGACGACGTCATGTTGAGTTTTCCAGCTATAGGATGGCGCAGGGGTGCTTTTTTTCAATGAGCTGAGTGGATGTTGAAGCTTTCTTAAATGGCCTTAAAAATAAGTAGGTAAGTACATTGTTCCTAAAGAATCCTAAAGGATCAGTTCTTGAAAGGACCTGCCGACGAAGTGACCCAGTATCTGAGTTAGCTAAAAGAGAAAGTGTTTCTCAGTACAAGGATTCTTTTGTATGGAAAAATAAAAACCGAGTATTCTAGACAGAGCTTTTTAGGGTGTTTCTCATCCCTTCTTTCTAATCCTTATATAAGCAACCAGGTATCCAAGTACCCATCTGTATATTTTTTATACACACTTCACTGTTCCGGTAAAAATTTAAAAAAATTGCTACGTGTCTCTAGTTCTCGAACACTCTCACTCTATTTGTGTTTTAAAAATAAAGAAAACTGGTTCAAAATCCTTGGAATATCGAAGTTCGAACAAACGTAAGCATTTCGAAAATGCTTTGGCAAGTAGAAGCGGCAGGGATGGCATTACGGTTTTAATGTAAAAATGGAGAAAGAAGATTAATGCAATTATATAACGGAGCCAAAAATGTGTTAGAAGTATTTACGATGAACTGTCCGATAGACCACCAAGAAAAGATATTTTTGTGCCAAATTTCAAACTTGAATTGCACTGTTCTTCCGGTGAAAGTGGATAATGAAAAATTGGCACGAAATGCCTTTTCTTGGTAACTTTACAGATTGGGTATAATGGACGTAAAAATGGAACCTACTGTATTTCGCGTCGTTCTGCTTCTTCTTGAGAGATATCTTCTTCGACAGAGTAATCAAGAATAGGTTTCACACCGAACTGCCGCAACCTATCCAGGACAGGAGTGATCTGCACCTCGTCTTCGCCGGCGACAAAGTGACCGTAGAATGTACCCTTCATAAACTTTGTGAAAAGTTTCTCGCCAAGGAGCTGCTTGGCTATTTTCATTAGCTGAAACGAACAAAGAACAATTTATTTTTAAGTAAATGAATAATATTGTTCAATCGAATCAATCAAGAAAGAAGGTCGAGAAGAGTGTACCATTTCATACTTCGGAAATGTGTAGAAATTGGTCGTTTCAGTGACAGTGAAAAATTTGTGAGAAACTTAGAAATGATAGCTCCTCGTTGTCTGAATGCTTGTACTGTCACTAAACTAATTATTGCGGAATAACAGAAATTCAAACTTATTTATTCTAGATTAATTCAGATTTGAAATTCATATTATATATCGGTCAAATTTAACCTCAATGAAAATTATTGATTTATTTCAAGAAATATTTGTTGCTAACGGACAGAGGTATGATGTTAGTTTCTAGTGAATTGTATTTTATTCAATTTGATTTAGACAGGGATTTAATGAAGTGGAACGGAAAACATTCTGAACACGTTTCGTTAGTTCGGAACAATTACAAGGTTACTTCGATTTTCCTTCATTTTAATAATCGACGATAAGAATTGAGTTAAACGCAATGTCCCGTTGTGTCATGTATTTCACAACGTTGTGAAACATAAAAAGCTTTTATTGGTCGTAATCGGTTCAAGGACTGCTTAACACATGCAAAACCGCGAGCATAAAAATGGAAAATATTTCGACGTAAACCGGAGAACCGATTAAACGATAAAAATAAAAACTGACTATTCTTATTTTTTAAAATTGACTACATACCTATTGCGACAATAAATTTTTGTTACGATAAAAACACAATACGTTAAACGAATCCGTAATTCTTTTATCAGAATTTAAAATATCAGCGTTACTCATATGAATTGTATATTTATTACTGGAATTAGTACACAAATTGTTTAGAAGAAACATTAACATGTTGTATTATGGAAAAAATTCGTGTAATTTGAATATATTATGTCGGTATAATAATTATCATTACTAACTATAATTATTTATTTCTATGTGCTCTTATATCCGATATTAATTATGATTCTTGTAAATATTATTTCTGAATGTAAACAAAATTAAAGCATTATTCTTATAGAATTAAAAACTGGATAAAATGCTAATCATATTCTCATTCTGCGAATGAGTTCTGTTTGTTCTGATGATTGCAAACTGTAGACCACGCGAGTCACAGATATAAATTATGACACATATGACGATGTAATAACCGCAAGCAAATTACACCGATTTACGAACCAAAAGCGATATATAATGTTATTACTGTCATAAAAATATTCCTTTCTACGAACCATAAATTTTGAAAATGTCTACAACATCTTCTATTTTCATTGTGGAAGTACGGCAAATCTTGATCATAAAATTAAAAAAGGAGATTAAGGAGATTAAATACGATTAAGAACAGCACTTACTTGTAACTCAAACAAAATTACATAAATAATTACTGTAATGAAAAAAACCTAGTATAAAAATTCATTTAATATTTATCCTTAATACGAAACTATTTACTAATAATCTTTTTATAGTTAAAGTGATATACAAGTGATGATTTGTATTAAAACATAAACATAGACGAAATTTATTAAGATTACTTTATTTCTGTAAAATATTTGTATTCCAAATGTCATTTAAACAGTATAATTACTTTCAACAATGTATCTGTTATTTAAAATGATATATTACTCATTATCTTGTAAATAAATTTGTTCGTATTACTAGTAGGTCATAAAAAAAATCTCTAAATAAAATTAATAATTCATTAACTTCAAAAAATTGTTAGAATATTTGAGGTACTATTCAATCGTAAACACGTACTCTCTTAAAAATCCTATATTTTCCTATAGTCGATATTATCATTCACTTATGACAATGTCTACAAAACAAGTACAAATGATTCTTCCTGACCTTTATAACTAATTGCGATGACTGTTAACGATAACCTGTTAGATCGATTATCTTCCGAGTTGTGACGAGGAACTATTAACGATTAAACTGATTCTCCGATCTGAATGATCATTTATGCATACGCTAGCCTATTACTCATTTGAAGGGACGCGCACGTTTCACATTCAGGATGACGTTGTTCTCTGATAAACTGAGAGAAAATGATATACTGGGTTAAGCATCTCAAATAGATCTAAACAGCTTGCCTACCTTTAACAGTAGAACTAGCATTTGTACGAGTATTTAACATGATTAACATATAATTCTTATAAAAATTATAAAAATATATTTATTTTTAATTCTACTGATATTCATTACATTAAATAAGAGAAACTCTTAATCTTCATAACCATTTCAAATATTTAACATATTTACAATACCAGTGACTACGAAATAAGAAAATTAAATCCCATCATTTTAACGGTAGTCATAGTATTAATGATAGAAAACTATCCATTTGATCAACCTTGTTTAGTTTCAAGGTGAATATAATGCAATCTTAGTTGTCTTACTGTATATAGAAGAGTATGTGATTAGGAAACTAACAAAATTCAATAGAAATACTTCTATCTCATGAAAAGCTCAAATTCAGCTTGAGTAATTTTGGCTGAAAACTAAATGTAATGCTTTTTAGATGGATTACCCAGGGTGTGATAAAATAGGCTCTGTATCTTAATGATTTTCTTTTGTTTTCTTCGAGACGAGAGACAAATGATAAATACAGCATCAGATCAATAGCGTTGCACTTTGGTAACCTTAGGTTAGTGGTGGGCAGAAATTCAAGAAAGAGAAATAGCACGACAGAATGAAAGCAGGCGGGTCCTTACGTGTAATTGGATAACCTCTTGCACGCGCTTGACTCGTGAGCCAAGGTAATCGAAACAGGAAACTTACCCTCCGTAAGGTCTCGTTTCGCGACAATTTTACTTTCATACTATCTAACTTAACGCTATAAATAAATACAACGTAAACCAGGGAAGTACGTTATAAATGGAATAAAATTGAACACCAAGTGTCATCGGCACGAGATCAGAAAGAATTTAGATAGAATTAATTAAATAGAAATTGATTTCCTTAAGAATCTGAACAAGTAGAATATAAATTCCTCTACAGTTTCTTGATATTATTAGGCGTAAAAATTTAATCAATTTTAAATTCATTTTAAATTGTAAACATTTCTTCACCATTCTAAAAATTTTCTATTTTTCTTTCGAAAATGGCAGAAAACTCATCCAAATTAATGATTATTATACATCTTACATATATAAATATATATATATGATGTATAATATTTTTTTAAACAGACGATAAAATAATTTTAACAAAACATCGAATCAATTTCTACATTTAATACATTCCTCCGACTGGTTACGAGTTCGTCGAAAAGACACAAAACCATGTTGCCATGTGATCGCTATGTCGTTATCCCAGTTTCCGTTTCATTAAATGAGTTGCATCGAATTTATGGGATTTTTCCGGACACTGGTTCAGCCATTAAAGCGTTAAATTGCGACATTGCATAATAGTAGAGATACGACTCAAAGCATTACATCCGCAAATGGGTGGTATATTTTGGTTCAATGGCAACAGGGGTAGCAGTTATCGATCAGCCAACGTCTAAGAACTTTTTGCCAAGACCGTATTGATCCTGGCAGAGTTCGTAGACGCATTTCACACGACCTATATAGTTCTAATCGATGTCGGTTACGTGCACCGCGAGCCCTGCACACGAGACATACTGCTGCGACATTCGTAATATTTTAGGGACACTGCACCCTGTGAAAAGTAAGGATTATATCCACAGTTTTTAGATCAAAGAAAGTAGATCACAATTTAAACAATTTGAATTTATACTTCATTTAGACTTAGAAGATAAAATTTATGTTTTCGGAAGGAAAAAAGGTACATAAAAGAATTATTTATTTTCCAAAAATAGACACAAGAATACTAAAATCTACGACCATGTATATGGGGCAAGCAATTGAAGCCAATTATGTCTTGAATTTAGTCGAGCATACAAAAAGAGTAGTTATATGGAATGCTAAATGGTACGATAAGGTGTATTTTCATACAAATGAGTTTTCTTTGTAAATGTAACGATGTACATAAAAAATGAGCATGCATTGCTTTTCATTCTTTCGCGAGCAAAGATTAAAATATTAAAATAAGGTATACAATAGATAAATACATCACAAATTTCAATCTTCATAAAACTTAAAGCGTGCACTGCATTTTATGTAATAAATCAGTTATTATTATTATTATTTGAAAGTTTTGTTACAATTTACGACTGGTTGTACATTTTAATCGAATATTACTCATAAATTGAATATTACTTTTCTACCATCGATCATTAACCTTTGAAGTAAACGTAGACGTAGCATAAGCATTAAAATTGTTTCTTTTAATTAATAAATTTCTTCTTTTAATTAATAAGTTTCTTTTATCTAATAAATTATTAACGACGAAGTAGATGTACCGATCACAGTTACGAAATAAATCATAGGGCAAAGGGTTAACGAATAAAGTAATACCGAATTGAGTTAACGAATAAAGTCTCAAGAATAGAAGAGTGAACGCACGCGTTTCTCGTGTGCCGCAAAAGACACCGCGGAAGATAAATAAGAAATCAATTAACGCGTATTGCTAGGAAACCGATACTAGTTAGATAAAGGAGAAGAGGCGCAATTAGTCGGAACCCCAAAATAGAACAGTCGATCGTTATGATGCAAACGCGAAAGGGTTGAATGTAATTGCGAGCGTGTTTCCCCATCGATCCGATCACGGCAGGTTTCACGAGACAATCTTATAGTCGGAATCGTGAGGATCAAAAGTCAACAAGGAATTTTCCAGCTCTGAATCAGTTAAAATCTGGAACATTACATGGACTTCACAGAATTTGCATAATAACCTGCAGTCTAATTATAATACTTCGTCCTCACTTTGGATAATTAGTTTTCTACGATAAAATCCTTATAAAGATAGGGGGAAGACAGTTAAACGGAGTAAATATAATCTGAAATGCTTACTTTGAACAAATATAGCTGTATAATTGCGATTTTAGTATTATTCCGTAACTATATGTATTAATTTAA